AATAATAATAATATTATTAATAATAATAATATTATTAATAATAATAATATTAATAATAATAATAATAATAATAATAGTAACAATAACAATAATAACAATAATAATAATAATTAATGACAAGAAGAAGAAGAATGAAACCAGAATCGGATGTAGTTGTAATAGCTGCTCAAGATAATGCGTTAAGAACACAATCTTATGATAAATATATTGTGATTCTCAAAATTTCCCAAGGTGATAAATGCCGCATTTGCCAGGAACAAGTAGAAACCATTGAGATCATGTTGTGTCTGCTTGTCTAATTCTAGCAACGATCGAATACATGAAGAGACACGATAGGGTGTGTAGTTATCTCCATTGGTAGATCTGTAACGCCCTCGACGTTTCAAATAATCCTCTAAGTGGTACAAACACCAAAACTGGTGACATCTGTTGGATCGAGTACAATGTTTATTACCTACAAATTCAAACTGATCACACGATATCGGCAAACAAACCAGATATTGTTATTAGGGATGTGAAGAAATAAATCATGTCTACTTGTAGTGTGACTGTTCCGAGCGATCAAATCATCGTAACCAAGGAAGCAAAGAAACGTCTTAAATACAAGAGTTTGGAAATCGTGATCAGCAGAATGTGGGGCATCAAAGCACAGGTTGTAAGGAAATTTATCCGAGTTCTGGGATTTGTTCCGCAAAATACGGGTAAGAACTAGGTTAAACTTCCAGGTCGTTAAAAAGACTGGGAAGTGCAGGACATTGTTTTATTTGGAACAGCCCACATTTTGCGCAAAGTATTATAGAGGGACCAAGCGTCCATATATCTGCTCCTTAGGACGTTGGATGCAACCCGGAGTTGATTTTATAAGCAACCGACTCATAACATCTTTAGGGATGAATTAGAGTAGCATTATTAATGATGATGATAATAATAATAACAATAATAATAACAATAATAATAACAATAATAATAACAATAATAATAACAATAATAATACTAATAATAATAAATATTACTGAATATTAAACTCGACAAGACTTTACCGCACGTCGATACGTAGCCCAACAACTCCCCGCAGTGTACTACTCCACGTTTCAATACACTTCACGGAACAGCACGACTCTATTTAGATGGATTTTATTTTAATTACCTATCACTGTGAAGTTTACTTATACTTTTATTCATCCAAACCCGCAGAGGAAAGCCTGCACAGGGTCTAGGGGAGTTCATTGCAGAATCATGCAACCACGTGGAAGCCAAAGTCCGCTTACATTCACCCACGAACAGGAACAGGAGATGCCTCCGCTTCAGAACAAACGCCAACGGGAAGAGAAATGACTTATTATTATTATTATTATTATTATTATTATTATTATTATTATTATTATTGCTATGAAACTGTGACGGTAAAACAGAGCCAATGCCCTCCTAGTTGCGCTACACTCAACACACTTTCGTTTTACATCTGATTACCTGGGGACAGCGTCACGTTGCATTTCTCGGGTTTATTTCAGCGTGCATTCGTGATGTCATCCCCATTTATTTTACTTTATTCATTAATTTTTTCATTGCCTCCCAACTTTTTCTCGCCTCTTTATCTTATACAGTGGGATGGCGCATTTAAGGCAAAGGGCTCATGCGGCTTCAGCTCCCCAAGAAGTTAATGATACGTATTGGAATATGTACCTTTTAATAATTTTGTATACTAATGAAAGTCATTCAATATATCAATTGTTAAAGTTATAAATGTCTTTATAAGAAAATATCAAAGTCCGCTGAAGACTAAACCTGTAGCTCTGCCGAGAGGTATCCCGAGTGCACTCTTGATCAAATCACATGCACAGATTTCGAGATTTTTAATGACTTTGGATTGGCTTTTTACTTCTTTTCGATAACATTGTTATTACGTTTTCCTATATCCTGTCCTTCGCAAAACCGCGCTCTAATCTTAATATTGTACTAAGCTCTCAGCTTCAGCCCAACGTCAATCCAAAGTCAGCGTCAGCGCTTGATCTGCTGGACAAATGGAACTTTGTTTCCATTTTTTACTATTTTATTGGTCTTCGCGTTCCCGGACCAAAACGCATGTTGACCGGTCCCGATCTGTTTAGCGTTGCCATGCTGTGGTGAGCCAGCGTGGCACGCCCGTCTTTCAACTTTCTTTACGTACCGTTAGCGTTGCCGTTTCCGTTCGCAAGTAATTGAGAACCGGCGTTGATGCAATGAAGTAAACCCTCAGTCAGGGTGTTTTCACATTGCGATAGGGAACAATCGGTATACTACCAAATCAATTCATCATACATCCATCAATTCGTATTACGTGGGCATTCACTAACTTTTGAAATGTCCGCACTAACACCGTCGAGGTAAATATATTTTAAAAAATAGCCTTCTAGGAGCTTCCGTTCTTGAATATACCCACAGACTTAATACATTTAAATTTTTTACTGACTAAAACAAAAATGTGTTTATTATTATTATTATTATTATTATTATTATTGCTATTATTATTTAATATAGTTTTATACAATTATAATGTTGATTGTATTGGTATTCTACGTAAAAATAATAATATTTGTTTTTATCCTGCTCAAGCATTGAAATTGTAATAGCAAAAGGCAGAAACTAAATACTATAAAAAGGTAGATTCTGGTTAAATGGGTCATTTCGAACTCGTTACTGGTCAGATTTGCTCAATAAAACGACAGTCAATATTATAAAACAATGTTACGAGAATTAATATATAATATAAAGTATATCAACAATACAGAATTCAATAAACATAAAATAAAAAATGATTATGACTCTAAAGTAGACTGGCATAATTTTTAGAAACAAATGATGCACTGATGTCCGGAAATATTTAGTTTTCTTTCTGAAACAGTGCGGAAATAATGTTGCACGAAATGTAGGCGAGAACTCGTAATTTCAGCGTCAATAGTTAATTATGTGTGCTTTTCCACCCAGAAATGTACCTCTTCAATTGGCGACAACGTTTACCCAAATCCGACCAGTTGGTGAATACTGCAATTAAGAATGTCCATGTGATACATTGAGAAGCAGAGCTCAGCCGGCGTACCTGGCTCATCGTCGGGGGCGACGGCGAGTCCCAGCTCCCGCAGCACGGGCGTCAGCTGCGCGCGCGCGGCCGCCAGCAGCTCCGTCGGCCCGCGCAGCAGCACCCGCGGCGCAGCCACCCCAGCCAGCTGCGCGCGCTCCACCTGCGCACGCCGCGCAGCCACCGCTCGCGCTGCAGCTGGAAGCTAAGCTCCTCGGATTCATTACAATCGATTGGGGTTTCCGAACGCGTCCACTCCTAGGGGCAGTAATGCCGCACGTGCTGTGCATGTTGTTTCAACGGACGGTGGCGTTGCGTTTCCTCGACTATAACGAGAGATTCGGCGCCGACCTACACGTCCCGCGTCCCGGACTTTCCCGCACGCCGCGTATCTCCCTCGACCAGGCACCGCCTCAGCCGGGAGAAGTTCTGAGCTCCAGACTGGTTTCGACACGTGTGGTAGTCTAGTGCATGTAAATGTGCGAGTATAAGGTGAAAAGAGGGGATAAGGATAAAGAAGTTTAGATCTCAGCGGTCTGCGGCCGGTGTGTTAAGGGTATGCTCCGGTTATCGCCAGGTATTGATCGGAAAACCTACAGAAAAGTAACGAGCAAGGCAACCGGCAGCTAGAATTCTCCTCCAAACAGCGATTGAATTCGACCCAACTGTTTAGCTAGTGTCGAAAATTCTACCATTGATGTGTCCTTAACACCTGCCGGTCAGAGACACGAGATCCGCGCAGAAGCAAAAAGTGTTGTTCTGTGCTGGCTCAGTCAGTCTAAACTCTTCAGGCTATTACACTCTCGTAGGCATGTAGCACGATTTATCTCTAGACGGTCTATAGACCCTCTAAACAGCCTATTGTTTCGCGTCCACATTCTTTCTGGATATGTGATTTTGACACCATCATGGACGATGTTGTTATGTGCGGAATGAATACGCGCTCGTTACTAATGAAAAATGAATAAAAAATTACAAAAATGTAAACATTGTTGGACAGGCCTGGTGATTGCAGAATGACATACATTTGGGACAACGTTATTAATGAAATTAAGACTGAAAGACGCCATTGGTTTCAGAAATTTCACCCAACTAACGCTTACTTATTTTGAAACTTTAGTTGGTGGGAGCACTGATCACAAAAATGATTGAACATTGAATATCTCGAAAGGTGGTGATACACTGAGTTCGGGTCGTTTCAGCAAAAGTCCACGCAGTCAAAATGTTCGTCGTGTCTACAGTTCCACCTTGTCTCTCATCTCAAAACGGGAGACCACGGACTTGCAATTTGTATTCTAGCAACGATTAGAAGATCGTCTTTGAACATGTCTGTACTCTAATCGCTAGACAAGTTTCGGAGAGCAAAATTGTGGAAGAGGTCGACAAGTGTGTACAAGCCTTTCGACGTTCTAACGGAGTACACTGCCATGTCCAATCTTAGCTGATGTCCACAGCCGCCATCTCTTACCCTTCTCAGTAGCTGCTGCCCTTCGACGTTTCCTTTGCGAACGTGTTGAAATTTAATAGAGACTGTGAACATTATTGGACAGTTGTAGGCCCACACAATGTCTCAGACGAGCGGGACATAGTAATTATTATGGGAGAGCAGACATTTAATAATTTTGGCATTATGCCCCTGAATAACATATAAGCGAAGTCCAAAATACCAACATTATAGCTTCACATCTGCCTTGTTGGTACAATGAGCCCACAGTAGACAGAAAAAATTAAGCACGAGAACCAATACCGGAAACCGTATCTGAAATAAACTTTACTGTATTCTTTGAAATTTCCTCACACAATTATAACACTTTACCTAGCACGATTTCCTGAAACTTTCATGAACGAGAATTCAGTGTCATAAACCAGAATTTAATGTAATGTCCTGTGAATTATCTGTCCTTCATTATAACTGCCATTCTTTTTTCTTCCCTATTCGAGTATCAAATCGGTTTATCTCTCTCTCTCTTCCTGAACACATTTCTTATTCAACCCATTCCATTATTTCCAATTCCTCTTCACTTGTTCCTCCAGTCCCCTCATTCTCTGCCGCTCCTGAGACCACCCGTTATTTCCTTCAATCACGCACTTCACCTTTCTTCCATTTTTCCACTCACTACTATAAAATTGAAGTAAATATATGGCGACAAGTCAGATGTAGAAAATGAATATCCCTGCAAGGTTCTACATGAGCCAAGAGATATATCTTTGCCGTCACCTGGGTGCGTTCTGATTCCCGTTCGTTAACTCGTGGCTGGTAACAAGGGGTTCGCGAGCTTCACTACACAGAGGTGACAAGAACAGTGGAAAACAGGGGCCAGCGGGCTGCATCGATTTAAGAAATAGGAATCGGGCAAGTGCCGGGAGAGTCGCACCAGGGATAGAACAACACTCTCATCATCAGCCTCACTCGCAAGGGGACGTTTTTAAAAAGAGGGGATTAGAAAGATGTACAGCAGCCTAATCAATGATTCTCTCAGCTCTTCAAGCTCCATATGGCAAACATTAAAAGACATTGAAGAAACGACATCATCCGAGATGCAAATGAGTTATTTTATCCAAAATAAAATGTACAAATAAAAGGGTTATATAGAGCAAGTTTTATCCCCCGTAAAGCTATCTTGATGTTACATTCCATTTAACAATTCTAGACGCAAGATTCGTACGTAAAGGTCGACGACGAAAATAAAGTACATTTTTCCCCGGTGGAGCGGTATCTCATGTACGGAAGTGGTAAAGAAGAGCAGTGAAACTCCACGAATCGACAAGATGCTTCCGGCGAGAAATATATGAAGGGGTGTCGAGGTCTCTCAGCGGAGAAAGCGGCTGCTCCACCCTCCCTTCTGGCTGAAGGACCTCAAACGCAGTCAATGACCCTTGCGGACACGGGTGAGCGGAGTTTTAGGTGCTGACTTCCTCTGGGGGCGGTTCGGTCATTCCGTTCATTCCTTTTCTCATGGTTTTATTCCGTCTTTCCTTCTGCTCATTTTTCTTTTTTTATATATTTGTTAAATACTTTTATTTTTATATTTTTATTTTTCATTTGAATATTTCTGTGGTTCCTATTATGTTTATTAGAAGTCTACGTATTAACAATCGATTCGGAATGTTGTTATACTTACAATTGCCAGTTGAATATTCCAACATGTAAAATCCCTTGACATTTGATACTCATTCCCTTGATTTTTAATACTTCAAACAATGTCATCTGTTTTTATTCGCTGTTAAGACGCCCCTGTCGTTTCTCTGAATCATAAAATCATAAATCAGAGGTGGGAGTGGAAGCGTAATGTGTTGAAGGCAATTCAATTTGTGACCTCTGCCAGGATATAGTTCGGAGTTTGACTGCTCGAACGAGCGGCTTCTGTGATTTTCGTGATCAGTTATAGATGAATGGCAAAACAGCATTCTACACAACGGGTCACTGACAGCGCGGATGTTCCGATTGCCTTTCGTCCTCATTCATCAGCCCTAATTCGGACTGGGACGCTGCAAAGGAGTTCTTATCGTAACGTCCCCTTCATTACCGACATAGACCATCAGGGAAGGGTCAAACATTTTACAGTGGATTGAATGAGGCTAGTAGTAAATTCATTACATATTTCCCTCTCACCCTTTCAGATCTCCTACAGTTTTTTTCCCTCTCTAACCACACTTACCCTTCAGCCCCACCCCCACCCATTTTCATTGGCATCTTTCAAAGATCTTATTGATGTAACTATTTCTATTCTTTCACTTCTTCTCTGTATAGTACATCTTATATCATTAGACTGCACAAATCTAAAATGTTGAAGTGCTCTGCGTGTACTTATGACGTCTCAAAATGATTGTTATAAAATTCTTGGGTATGTACAGGGATCAATAATGTACTTTTGGCCAATATATATATATATATATATATATATATAATATATATATATATATAATATATATATATATAATGAGATAGAGAGAGAGAGAGAGAGAGAGAGAGAGAGAGAGAGAGAGAAAGAAATTTCATATGACGGAGTTATATGCATCTGTACACTTTTCATTTGCACCTGATTCTTAGGCAACTCGATATTTACAGATGTTTGGCAGGTTCATGAAATTTCTTGAACTGTATGAAAACGTGATCTGACGAACTTTGTGGATGAGGAGGTACCTAAATATCAGGGACCAATATCACATGAATAATTGCATATAACTCAGTATATGTTCATTTGCAAAACGTATATGTTCATTTGCAAATCATTTTCAACCCCTAGACATGCCAAAGAAGTTCATTTTAAAATTTACATTTTACACGCGAAACCTTTATTCTAAGACAGTTGTAGAAACGTCACAACCTCCAGCAAAAGTGGAATTGTGCAGCAGATGCATGGGCTAAAATTAGTCTTACGCCAAGAGCACGACCGAAGTCTCTTCTTCCCAAATTTCGTGCAGAGTCCTGCGCCGAGATTGATTATTTTAACGCATATTTAACAACTAAACAAGGCGCACGAGGCCGAGATAAAACAAGCACATTATTAAAATAGCCATTAAACCGTACCAACAATTACCGAGGGAGTTTGCCTCCTGTAGGACGCGTGGCGCGCGCGCGTGGCGCGGGCGATAAGGGCGACGGCGCTCCGCGTCCTTGCTATTTAGCGAGCCCGATATCGATCGGGTGCTTCTTGTTTGTTCATAACACGGCGCCGCCGCCTTCGCCGCATCTTGCGCCCGCCAGCGGCCCGCCGAGGGAGGCCCAGCGCCCG